AAAAAACTCTATCGCACATAAAAGGAGGAAGGACTCGCATTGACACCAGCAAAGTCCGTGAACAGGGTGAAGTGGAAGAATTTGCAAGTGCGCTTGAGGAATCGTTTCCAGGCCCGCCTGATACTGACGCATGCAATAGACGGGAACACCTCAAGAATGCTGCGCTGCCATGTTCATTTTCGGCCAGGAAGACCAACAAGACTGCTGACTGGTTTGAGTCCCACCCCAAGGAGATGACACCAGTCACTGCTGAAAAGAGGGGAGCCCTGGCAGCAATTTTTTTCTTTTTAAATTTATTGTTTTGTTTTGTTTTCTTTTCTTTTATCATATTTTTCATTTGCCTTGTTTCTTTTACTCTTACTGCTGACCCTCTACAGCTTCGTGAGGTTTTTCCGATAACGTATTTCTAGTAATCCAGTCCTAGATTCCAGTTCCTGATTTTCCGGAAAGGCAGCGAACTCGTAACTGCACGTACTATCACAAACAAATTGGCACGCAAGAGAATCATGGCTTTGACGAATGCACTCTTTAAAGTTTTCGAACCGTACAAGGACATTATAAAAAGTTCTGAAATCCCGGTGAAGACAAGTATTATAACACTGGTTCTGTATGGTTTCAAAGCATTCCTACAAGAGATCGTTTTCAACTGTCCGCGCGATTTCCACATCCTGTATGGCTCCCTGTTCATTTGCGGTCCAGCAGTGATTTTGTTTTGCCTTTCGATGCTGATTTCCGAGTCATTCTGGACTCTCGTCACAGGATGTTGTCGCCTACAATCGCGAAAGCGAAGGCTGGTTTGGTGGAAATCGAGTAAAAGCATCTATTTATCGCTCCTTCCTCCCTTTATGTGGTTGGTCTTCGCTTTCATGGAAGGTGACTTTTACACGTGCTTAACTCTTGGGCCGTTTAAAGTTGCCAAGGAAAGAATAACGGATCCAATAGCTTTATCAGCGCTCCAGGATAAATTCGCTTCGGCAAAGAACGTGTCTGCGATTATTTCATGGGCGATGTTGATTTCGTTGACACTAATAGTCACAATAGCTGTCACGCTTAGTCGACTTTTTGCGCAAGTAGATCCCAAACTACAAGGAGAGATCGAATTCGACGAGATCGAAGCTCAGGAGGCTGTAGAATTATGGAACGCCAAGTTAAAGAAACTGGCGAAAGCGCAGGCTCATAAGGTCATTCAAGAAGTAGAGAAATTGGCCGACGATTCGGACGTAGCAGAGCAGATCCGACGTGGCGAGTCGTATCTCAAACAGTTGTATCCGAGATACGGTGGGGTTGTAAGCGGGCATTATCGCGATAATAACTGGAGACCGAGAGAAGTGGAGATTGTTAGTGAACAAGAAGACTTTCATGATCACGGTGCGGCATCTGCAGATCATCTGTTGATCAATGCTACCAAGGTAAGAAGCTATGGGGCACGTCACACAACAAGCATTTAATGTCACGCAACCCAATAAACAGTGTCTTTCAGATGGCAAGCGAGGATTGGCGGATTTCCTGAGATTGAGAGGACGCCATTATTTTAAAAAAAGAAGACAAGGTGATTTCTATTATTAAACCGACACAATGTTTCTTAATCATGCTAGTCATGAAATGGACACGACCTTGTGAACGGGCAAACAGGAGAGGTAGGGAGGTGATTATCAGTTACTCCTTTTGGATGATTGGTGGAAACAGTTAGTGCCGTATGACGAGTTCACTGTGATCAAACGAGAGAAATTAACCAATGCTAAGCAAAGAACTTCAAAGCTACATGTAATCAACGTTGTTGATAATAATATGATGGTAATTTACTAAACTTTTTAAAAATCTATTTTAAAAAAAGGTCTATGCTTGAAAACTTAAATCTGGTGATATTATCGGCAAGCATTTTCAGTGAAAAGAGGCTTATTATTGTGAGAAAAAAAAAAGTTCTTATTAATTTTTGGATACATGCGCACTCATATTTTCACTAAATAAAACAAAACACCTCAGGAATTTAACTCTGGTGGATATGAAATCAATGCTATTTGAAATCATAATCAAAATCATTATTATTATCATCATCATCATTAGCCTGCGTAGCAAGCGTTTCCTCGCTAGGTTCGTCTAGAAAGCTGGGACAAGAGCAAAAAAAAATGAATGACGGGAGAGGGGGAGGGGAACGAAGGAACCGCTTGCCCGCAAACCCCACGATTTTGAAAAACTGCGTTCGCCCACGAACGCAGCTTCTGATTGGCGCGGTGCGGGTAGTGTTGATTACTTAGCATTCGAAAAATCAATCAAACCAGGTATGCTTTGTTTTCGTGCGTCGCAGATCTGGTCTCATCTAATTTGTGGTCGCAGATTACAAATGCTTTGGACTGATATTTATTGGAATCATGTTTGTGCGAAGGTTTATGAGATCAGAGTCTTCAAAGTATAATTGGAGATTCGAGCAGTGGAGACTAGGGAAGGCCAATTTATTGAGAATGACGGCGTGCGGATCTGACTGGAAAAAATGGACTGTTTGTTGGAGATAACATCAACATAAATCAGAACATCAGTACTTGACACTAGCTAAAGCCGCCATGGACAAGCGATTTGTCAGCTTTTTGAAATGAAAAGATTCTTTTTGTTTATTGGAAATTTAGCGGCATCTATTGAAGATAACGTTTCGAAATAGGCTGAAGAGCAGAAGCTCTGCAAAACTTATACCCAGCAGAGTGAATTGTTCCGGACAAATCATTTTTGACGTGTCGACAAGGTTTCAGACGAGATAAAGCCACACAATAAAAAACAAGAAATTCCGCAGCAATCGCTCATAGTTTTAACTTTCTTTTATCGTAAATCTTTTTTATTACAGTTCTTGCAATCGCCTGCAATGTGTTCTATCAGAGAACAAAGTAATTTTACAAATCTGGTAATCCAGGGGTAATCTGTTTGTTATGTTTCTATTTTGACGAGCTGTCAATTTACAAATGAACCGAACCGTGAAATATCAATATTTTCCAGAATCGGATTTTGATGGGATTCCTCTTCTTTGCCATAACCTTTTTTTTTTTGCTTCCGAACTTTCGGAATAACTCGATTGGGTGACAGTACGCAGGCTACATCATCATCATTATTATCAAACATTATGTTGAAGTAAAATAACATTAGCTTACTTAAGACGTTTATGGAAAAGCACAGAATAATATTATTATGGATTGATGGGATCTAGTTTTCCATATTCACTGAGGATAATAATGGGTGACAGTAGACCAGTGGTGGCATCGTCATTTTGCATCTTATTGAAATAATTTCATCACGGAATTAATTTTCCACAATCTGGCAACCCACTCAATCAAAAGTTGTTATTTAAATACCTGTGGGAGGATACTCTTGTACGGTTGTATGATCAAGATTATAAGTATGTGCCACCTTATAGGGTATAGTTTTTAGACCTTTTTGGTAAGTTTCTAAATTATTTGGTTAATATAAAGAATGATAATAGCCTGTTAGTCATTGCTGGGATGCTAATTAGTTATTTAAAGTACTTTTGTGATCAAGTAAATTAATGTTGATCAGGTAAAGCAACCACTGGTGACAAAAGACTATAAAGTGTACTTTGTGTCAGTAGAAGATTGAATGGCTTAATTAATCGCTACTGAAGGCTAAAGCAAGAAATAGTTTTGGCTTCAATATTGTTTGTTGTGCATGTTGATCAATTGGCTCTCGCTTTTTTCCTTCTCTGATGTTGAACTAATAGGCCACTGCGAAAAATAACATAATATTCTGAAATAATATTGCTGTTTGGGCAAGCTTAATGTAAACCTGACATTGGGCCTCACATTCACAATATTTCCAAGAACTGCATGTGCAATGGCCTATTTCCAAAAATACCATAGTAATCTATAATCCATAATAATATTCTGGCCACTGCATATGCCAATTGCATGAATTGACTCAGTGTGTAGTTCCAGCAAATATCCATACTCCCCCCACAGAAGGGAGAATTTTTGGACATTCCTGGGAGGTGGGGGGGTTCTCAAAGGCATAAAAATTTAAGTAAATGTATGAAGCTTGACTGGAATTTCCAGCAAGGTAGGGGGGTCTAAGGAAAAATCCCCTCCGTGGGGGAGGTATGGATAATTTTTGTAACCACACATTGCATGAGCAAATGGCCCCAGGGGTGGGGGGTACTCCCTAGTAATGGGTTAATGCAGGAGCCATAACTCTCATTGACTAACTAGAATGGGGTCGCAACTTTCCGGGATTTTAGGGGTCAGCAAATTCAGGTAGGTAGGAATTTAAAAATGGGAAGGTTCCTTCTGCATAATAAAGTAGTTAGAAGTCTTGAAATAAAGCTAGATGCAGAAACAATAGGTAAGTTGGTATAGCGGAAAGTGTTCCAGAAGTGACTAAAATAAGGTCTATAATCGGCAACAAAACGGGCTATAATGGAGGAGGATTACTGAGAGGCCAGCGGTAAATACACAGCTATAATATTAACGCGAGAAGCCCCTTCCCCCCCCCCCGGAAATGCCTAACTATGTGTAGCGTACAAACTAGCTAACCCTTAAACCGGCCTTGTTTATATGTCGAAATTCACGTCAGAAGAATAGGAACCTTTAAAATCAGGATACTTTGCAAAACTAGATTCATTTAATTTAAGTTTAAAACTCGTTTAATGGGGCAGTGGCAGTGGAATCGTTGGGTCGCGCGGCGCACTTCCCATGTCAACACGAAGCTGAGAAGGCCATGTTTTGCGAGTGCTGCTCAAAGGTTATCTAATGAATCAGTTATCAGTAAACAAAGACGTAAAACACTTACCCTTAGTAACTAAATGTTCTTGGCCAACAAGCTTGATTAATTACTGTAGTTGATTTCAATCCTTGAAACTGGCTCTGCGCGTGACGGCACGCGTGACATTTCTTTAAGACATTTCTGCCGTTTCCGGCCGCACAAGAATTGGCGCGAAAATTTAACCAATCAGCAGTCAGATTGTTTGCTATCAAGTCTCTTTCATATAACGTGAAAACGAAGAAAACATGGCGGACGATCTCCCATTCAAAGCTGAATATGCCAAGTCAAATCGTTCTTCTTGCAAGCTTTGCAAGGATAATATCGCCAAAGATAGCCTCAGAGTAGCTAAGATGGTACAGGTAAGGTTATCTCTTTGAAGTCTTAGCCGATTTTCTGGATAAACGCTGAACTTAAGTTGGATGAAATTCCGCATGTTGATTTCCCTTGCCAGGCTTCGAAAATTAGAATGGCTTTGTTTCTTTTAGACTCTAAATACACGCCCTCTTTGTTACTTTGCAGTCTCCCCACTTTGATGGCAAGGTAAGGAATATTTTCAGCGTTGTTTAATGATTTCATACAACAACTTCTTTTTCTGGTGTTGCATATTTGCTAATAATTAAAACTTTTTGTTATGGAAATTTTCAGCTGTCCACTGCACTTTAACCATTGGAAACCCTTACTTTCAACGCCAGCGTGTGTCTTTCGTTGAGAAAATGTTAAATATCAATGCTTAAATTTCGATTCTTTAGTGTTAGAACCAAAAAAATCTTTTTTAAAAACAATATTAGGGACCATTCATTATTTATGCCAGGGGGTGGGCTGGCAAGAATGAGGAGTGGGCCACGTCAAATTCAGGACAGTCAGAAGGGGGGGTCATTAATAAATCTGTGCACAAAGAGGGGGGGTGCTACCTCATTTTTTATTTATTTTCAAACAAATACTTTCAGTGCTCTTGGGACTAACGGCACATGGTTTGCAAGCCTCCTAAAGGCTAACAGTTCATAACTGGCAGTTTAAAGCTAATAAAGAAAACAGTCACAATTTCTACAAAAATTCGTAGAAATTGTGACTGTTTTCTTAATGATATGTTCCAATACCACGTTCAGAGGTCTTCCTCATTAGTTTTGGTCCCTGAGGAGTTCCCACAACTGCAATGATCAACAACAAGGTCAAGCTCGCAGTCACTTATAATGTTATTTCGACAGAATTACTAGAAGACAATACTTCTTGCTCTTGCCTAGAGATGTTTGCATTGATTTCTAAACTTGTTTGAAAGAAACATGAGCGATGATTCCTTGGATTTTACCATTCTTTTTCTCATGCATTTTAGTGAAAGTTTCAAATGAAATAAATCCTTTCTCTACCTTAATCTGCTGGATTTCACCAACGTGAAATAGAGTGTCCCAGTTAATCTACCTGCCTGTCTGACTTACATTCTGTACAGGGTTACCACTCACTAGAAGTTAGCTTCACAGAAATCTATACTTTTTTATTTTCTATAAGCCTGGTTTGTTTTTTATCAACGCTTTATCTTTGACCAAGAATCTTTACTCTGGAATGAAAAACAAACTCTAACTTTGTCTTTCTGATACAAAAAAAAAATTTGAAAAGAACTGGTGTGTCATCGATCCTTACGGCTACCATTGTTGGCCACTTTTCTGACATTTTTCGCATTCACTCTTCTTCCATTTCTGCATATTCCTGAAGACTCAAGGATATTACTTTGTTTTCTGAATCCATTTGTGATGTAAAATCCCAGTCTATTTATTATAGTTCCAGCACAGTAGAGAGCAGAGTGCACCACTGAGGATGAAAAGGATCAGTTTGATATAGTGATGCAGACTACATCTAGTTCAAACACTCACTAATCTTAGCTTGCATTTTGTATTTTTGTTTTATATAGGTAAATATTTTGTTGTGTTCATTTTTGTTTTGTTTTGTTTGTTTGTTTGTTTGTTTTTGGGAGGGGGGAGGCTAGCCAGTTTTGAAAACCACATTTAGAGGGATCATTCCTCTTTTTAGTTTTCTTTGGAAGGGGTCAAAAGGTTTTGTTGTGCTTTCTGATGGATCTTACCAGCCCATCCCCCCAGCATAAATAATGAATGGTCCCTTATTTTAGTCCATCTGTTGGAATGCTCCAATTGTGCATTTATCAATGTAACCCCCAGGGGAGAGCATGGAAGAAAGGTTAGGATTTGATCCAGAAGTAAAAATTTTGGCTTTTTTCAGATTCCCAACTGGTTTCACTTCAGCTGCTTCTTTAAAAAGAATAATGTGAAAACCTTCACGGACATTGGAGGCTTTGATTCCCTCCGTTGGGAAGACCAGGAAAAGGTTAAGGGAAAAGTAGGAGGTGGAGGATCGAAGGGGAGTGAAGCTGCTGCTGCCGCTAGTAATGGGGTGTCAGATGATTTGCAGGTGGAATATGCCAAGTCAAAGCGAAGCAAATGCAAAAACTGTAAAGAACAGATTGACAAGGTGAGGCCATGTTCAAGTTAGATGTATTTAATGTAATGCAAGTTCCAGTTATCAGTGGCGGATACAGGAGGGTAAGCTGCCTAGTTTAAATGTTTTTGAAACTTCACTTCATGGGAAAGATTATCTTAATACACCATGACTCATTGTAACTCTTATTATTAATAATGTAAGTTTTTCTATTTTTAACTTTATAGTCAAGTAGCTCCTTAAAGTATTTTAGTCTAATTTTACACACGATTTCTAGGAAGACCATGTAAAAATGATGCAATTTCGTGTATAAATAAAGATTGATGATGATGATGATGATGATGATGATGATGATGATGATGATGATGATGATGATGATGAGGGTCTGAGGAATTCAGAATAGCTCATTTGGCTAGAGGGCTGCTCTGGTATCACAGAGACCAGGGTTCAAATCTCAGCAAGCCTGAATTTTTTCAGTCTTTCTTTTCACAAGTGCATAAGTTGCCTCTTTAACTGTGATGATTTTCTTTACATTTATTTAAATGCTCAGTTACATGTATTTACAGGGAGAGCTTCGTCTTGCAAAAATAATGGAACCTGATGCAGAATCCAATGCCCCGGCAGGAGTCCCCATTCCATGGTGGCATCACGTAGAATGCTTTATTGAGAACCGCGAGTCACTGGGAGTTGAAAGCTCCGTAACAGCCGAATCATTTACTGGCTTTAGTAATCTAAAGAAAGAAGATAAAGACTTGTTGAAGAGTAAGCTTGGGTCTGGAAGAGGGAAAAAAGGGAAGGGAGGCAAGAGAAAAGCACCAGCAGTGGATGAAACAGATGCAAAAAGGACAAAGACAGTCACAGCAGAAGAAGATGAGATTCAAAAGCAGCTCAAGGTTCGTTTGAAATTGTTGGTAATCGTACATAGCTGGTGGGATTCTTACATGTATGTGTGGGGTTCTTTCTTGGCAGCTGAGGTGCGAGGAATTTTTGCAATCTTCTCATGGCTCCACCCCCCAAAACACAACAATGACAGCAGTAGGCGGCTAATCCCACCAGCTACATATACACTGTATGCAGGCTACAGTTTCTAGGGGTGTTAATGGGCTTGAATGTCTGCAAATTTGGTCCCCAAAACACAACAATGACAGCAGTAGGCGGCTAATCCCACCAGCTACATGTACACTGTATGCAGGCTACAGTTTCAGGGGTGTTAATGGGCTTGAATGCCTGCAAATTTGGTGTTACAGTTAAACCTCTCCACAACGGCCACCTTGAGGACAAGAGAAAGTGGCCATTATAAAGAGGTGGCCATTATAGAGAGGTTTAAACAAGAGTTAATGTATGGTTTAATTGTCTCCTGGGACAAATAAATTGGCTGCTGTAGAGAGGTGTCTATTTCAAAGAGGTGGTCGTTAGAAGAGGTTCAACTGTATAACTGTAAACTATTAATAATACCGGTGAGTACAAACTGGCTGTACCCTATGAAAGTAAGCTACCTTTTTGGTATACACAGTTTATATAAATAAAAAATTGGGGGTAAAATATTTTCTGGAAGGAATGACAACTTTATAATATGTATGTTTTCATTGATTTTTCATTTTGCCTTTAGTTTAAATTTATTTTTCCTTAATTTTTTCCTTAATTATTTTTGGGTGTGTTACATGTAATAAGCAAAACTGAATTTCAAAGACAGGAAAATAATATTAAACCATGACTTAGGTAACAAATAATAGTTCTTGTAAGTCCTAATTTCTTTACAGAATATTTTACAAGTGTAGGTTCATTTTTTATCCTTCTGCTGTCCGACTAATAGACCTGTACATGTAGATTAATACACTGTTTCTTTTTTATCAGAAACAAAGTAAACTGTTGTGGAAAGTGAGGGATGATTTACAAAAGAACTGTTCCCTACCAGAATTGAGAGAGATGCTGGAAGACAATGGGCTGAGTTCACAAGGTGGAGAGAGTTCTGTAAGTTCATAGAGTTATTATTTGCAACTACATAATAGGCGATGTACTGGTACATTTTGAGAAGTACAGCTGTAGTTGTTGAATTAACAGTGATCATTTCTAAAATTATGTATATCATGATGGTTGATAAAAGCCTTGCTGCAGGGTGACCCGAAAACACTGACCCCCAGAGCTGTGCTATAGCAGAGCCCAGTACAGTGGTCCCTGGCACCCAACTTTTGCTCTTGGGCAACCAGAAAATCTCAAATTTTTCAGACACATCATATGCTGGGCACCCTAGATTTTATAGGTTCAGAGCGCTGGGCACCCTTCAATTTTCTTTAGAGCACAGCCTTGCCCTCAGTCCATGGACTCCCCTACAGACCTGATCCACAACCATCGTACGGACCAGTCCATGGACCCCCCTTTATGGACCCCTCAAAAAAAGACAACAATAAAAATGACAGTTAGATAATTGCCTCCTTCACTGTGGTGATGAAAGGAGGACCTGCATACTTCAAAAAAGAATAACTTAGCTAACTTGTGTATTCACTGCCGGCCTCTGATTGCCTGCCCAACACTTTTCCCCAAGTGAGACGGCGGATAACATAAACACCCTCCAAGATCTCCATAATTCTTCAGATGATACGAAAGCCAAATTCAATAATTAACAATTATTAATGAATGAGGCTGAGTATCTTAAGAAGAATAATAATTATGGAGCTCGAGGAGGGTGTTATCCTTCAAGGCAGTAGGCTGAGGCGGATAACACCCTCCGAGATCTCCTTGATTCTTCATAAGATACGAAATCCATTCAAAATAATTCCTATTTTAAAAACAATAGCTAAAACGTGCTTACCTCCATCGATGTTAAGTTTATCTTCAATAGTGCACAGTGGAGTGGAGCTGAATAACATTAAATTTTAATGTTATTCAGCTCCACAAATATTCTCCAAATAGCAGATGTCACCCTTCGAGTTGTCTTCTTGCTCTTCTTGCCATGTTTTTAGCTATTATTTAGCCTAGTTCTTACTCTTGAAATGAGTGAAATGTCCGCCATGTTTGTTTTCGCAACCAAAACAACTCAACCTCACCCCCAGGTCTTGTCGGTTAATGGTGCATTAACCTGCAGGGAAGCTGCACTTTTGATGTCGTCAGTTGATTAATCGCAAAATTCTTCCAAATTTGGTCATCAGTAGCTGGTTATGGTGAATTATGGGTGTGCTTTTAGCCAATCAGAATCAGGGAAATATTTTGAATGAATAATAATATTGTTTTATTATTCATTCAAGGTAATTATTCAATAATTATTCCTAGTTTAAAACAAGCTAAAACATGCTCACCTCCATCGATTTTAAGTTAATTAAGTTGATTTTAATTCTCCAGATAGCAGATGTCATCCATTGAGTTGTATAATAATTGCTGTTCTTGCTATATTTTAAGCCAATAGTTCACCTATTTCTTCCTCCCGAAACAATTTTGTACTCACTACCTTAACAACTCAACCTTGTCCCCAGGTCTTCTCGGTTAACTGTCCAGTGTTCTGGCCATTATGCTGTAAAACTGACATCATTTTTCACATATTGCAAGCTTCTTCCAAATTTGGTCAACAGTAGCTGGTTATGATGAATATTATACTTGGAATTTTTGCCAATCAGAGACAGAAATATGTTGAATGAATAATAAACTGTATTATTTAGGAATCTTATTGATTAAAAGTGAAATTCTCATTATGATACGAATGGTCTAGCAGGCCAGTTCTGACAAAACACTGTATTCATGTACAGTGTATGTCCTTGAATTCATGTTCATTTTACTTTTAGGAACACTGCTGCAGACCATTATATTTGCTAGTTCTGACCATGTGGGCTGAACTTCTGCAGGAACTGTAATCAAATAGTACTTAAAGTGAATTAATGACAGTTTTGTTTGGTTTTTAAGTTGCTTGACAGATGCTCTGATGGAATGACTTTTGGAAGATTGCTGCCTTGTGAGGAATGTAAAGGTGGTCAGCTAGTGTATAGGTTGGTAAAACGTAGTCTTTAAGAGAGTGAAAAACCAGTTCATGTACAGCTGTAGTCCTGATGTACATGTGCAATCAATTAAGTCAACAATTGATATATTAAGCAGTCTGTCAAAGTGACAATAACTGTTTCATGAAGAGTTTAAGGCTTAATCAGGTACCTCCAGGTCGAACTATCCTTTTCTCTCTGCCTCCAAGTACCTACTAAAATGTTCTTCTGCTCCAGGTTTCTTTTTACAATGTCCTTGAATCTTGACCTAGTCCATCCTTGATTTCTCTTGCCATCATGCAACTTTGAATACAACAGCTGCCTAGGAAGCCTGGCAAAGTCCATCCTCTCTACATGGCCGAGCCATCTCAGGTTCATCTGAATTAAAATATCAGTCATAGGTGGAAGGCCAGCATTCTCCAGAAAGACTTTGTTTAGATAATGTTCATTATATCCCTGAGATGGCACATCATGTAGGCATGCACCTTCTTCACTTGTGACTGGTTTATGGTCCAAGTCTCTGCACCATAGAGGAGTGTACCGAGCACAACAGCGCAATATCAACAATTGATAACACTTGATAAAATTGATGAAATTCATAAAATTGATGGCTTTAACAAGGAAAAAAGTTGTGGCCATCGATTTCTGGTTTTTATTGATTGCACTGGTCAGGATGCAGTATAAAAAGGTTTATGTTTAAGATGGTAGTCTCCACTTGAGCCTGATATTGTAGGTATAATATCCTGGACTCTTTTCTAGAATCAGTTTTGGAGGACTGAGTTTTGAATGACGCTTTTTCAGGGACCCTCTTGGGTGACAAAAGCAAACAACAAAAAGAAAAAAGTATAAGTGACATGAAGAGGTTCCAGGAGAAAAACCCAAAGTGACCTCTGATCTAATGTTAGATTCTCCTTGAAAATAACTGCTCATTTTCTTGTGAAACATGGAGAGAATTCAATTTACTGGTTGTTATTATTAAGGGAAATTCAATTACTAATTTTGCTTTAATTGTGTTGATAAATTAGAACGGAAGGTTATTGCTGTACAGGCAATTTAACAGCTTGGACAAAGTGTATGTTTGTCACTAAGCAGCCCAAGCGAACTCAGTGGAAAATTTCTGATGATTTGAAAGGTGGATCAGAGTTTTTGTAAGTACATAAATGAGAACTTTTCTCTGAGTACACTGTACCTTCTTTTGCTAGGGTCACTGTGGTAATGATTTCACTGTATGCTGTTTGCCCGATGATTTTAAATAAATGTGCTGTAGTTATATTTTTGTTTTAGGAAGAATTTTAAGTGCAAGAAAAAAGAGAGAGTTTTTCCAAAAGTGTCTGCTGTGGCCTCAGTATCATCTAAGGTCGTCAAATCAGAGGCTGTTAGTTCAAGGTATGTGATCAGTGTACATAATTTGTAATAATTAACCTTCCTATGGCAGTATGATTTGTCGCTCTATGAACTCCAGCGGTTTAAGTTGAAATCCATAGTTTACAAAGAAAAAGATAATTCTGTTGCAGCACTTGGATTTTAGTAGGAATTAAAATCCTCACACTAACATTCTGTATAAGTTTATATTCTCTAGCGTAGCTGTTACATGTTGTTCGATGTAATTTCTACCTGTTCTGAGCAGGGTATCTGGAACAGTGGTCTCTGCCATCGCTCCTTACTAAACACACACAGTTCCCCATAATTTACGGTCATGTCTTAGGCCCTGTTTACAAGGAGGAAGGGTAACCCCGGTGCAAGGGTTACCCTAGCAAGAGGGTAACCCTTGCACTCGCACATTTCTTCTTTTTTTACATGGCGTGTTTACTAGGCAGGTACATGTAGGGTTACCCTAACACTAGGATAACCCTACCTGAGTGCTAGGGTTACCCTAGTAAGAGGGTTACCCTACCTGTTTCCCTACCTGCCTTGTAAACGTTGCGCTAGGGATAACTCACCTACCTGTGACAACTTTCCCCCGTCATGCTTGACCAGTAATCTTGACAACGTGAACAGAATATTATTACATGTATTCAATTTCTGAGCCAAATTATAAACATCTGAAGAATATAACTATAACGTATTTTCTGTGCATGATGATAATATTGTCCTGTTTTTTCGTGAATTTAACGTGTTTCCCATTGAGAACTTCACGTTTTATTTCAAATCTTGGACGATGCAAAGAATGTCATGCATGACAAAACACAACAGTAAAGTTGGTAAAGTTGACCCAGGTGATAGGGTAACCCTAACTGTGAAATTTGCTTAGGGTAACCCTAGCACAAGGGTAACCCTCTCTCCTTGTAAACAGGTCCTTATGTTAAAACCTAGAACATTGCTTAAAAATCAACACATCATCATGGAGGATCATATTCCCACACAGAAGGGATTAGAAATTCGACCGCTATTAATATTGACCAATAGATCGGTCGACACTACCTACAGTAAACAAGATCCTTAAAATTTTGTCTGTTCAATAAATTGTCGTTGGTTGTGGGTATAAAATTTTCTTAGGTAATGTATCTCAACTGAATTTTTTTCTTTGTGTTTTCTTATTTTGGATATATGTCCTGTATGTATCATATCATTTTGCAAACTTTCCATTTAGGGCTGCACCAATTTCAGCTGCTGCCACTCCAAACAAGCCTCTTTCTGACATGAAATTTGCTATAATTGGGAGACTACAGCAGAGCAAGGTTATGTGCATTTTATTTAATTTTTAATACCACTCGCACACTGCTACTGCTGTTATTTCTTGTTTGGTCTTTTCTTTTCTTTTCTTTTTGCCAACAATGAAACTCAGTGCGCTAAATGCTCAGCAACAGTACAATGAGATAAAATTGGGAGTTGCCTTAATGCATGTTAACATTATTATGTCTAAATCTGCTGTTTAGGATGCAATTTCAACAGTGATACAGGATCTGGGAGGATCAGTAGTTGAGAAGGTCAATGCTTCTGTTGACTGTTGTATCAGTTCTCAAGGTATATACAATCATGTAATACGTTGCACCACACATCACCAATTGTAATTTTACTCATAAGAGTGTTTGAAGAAAAGTTGTTCTGGGAAAGAGAGTCACCCTCCCAGCCGAGTCAACTGAAGCAAGCGTTTATATCGGAAAAAGGGTGACTTCTTTGCGCAAGCCAAGAGCTGATAGCAGTGTTCACGCATGCTCTGATTGTCTGTTCTCAACCAAGGTGACCCATCTAGGTGAGCTAAAGTGTTTAAATATGAAGACGAGTTGGCCCAGGTGGAAGAGTTACCCTAATAGCGGCTAGGCAGGTCACCCCTCTATCAGAGCCAACTGTCTCTCATGTAAAGAGTTCGCAAAGTTTTGTAAGAAAATTTAGGAAAAGTTGGCTTGCCCATGGTAGCTCAGGTAGGCTAGGGACCCTTTTACCTGAGACTAGCTCTCTCTGGTAACCGGTCGTTTTGATACAAGTTCGTTTCGATACAAGTCATTTTGATACAAAATCAAGAAGTGAAAGTGCACAAAAATTTCGAAATGATCAGTAACTCTCTCTCCATATAAACGGGGCCTGAGACAATTCACATGAATTTTAATAGCACAAACAGTTTGCAAGAGTTGCTGTTGGCAGTTTATTGTAATTGTTAGTAATGTGTGCTCATTTTTACCCCAAAATGCTCTCTGTTTCTTTTGCTAGCTGAAGTAGATAAGAAGAGCAAAAAAATGCGGGACGCTGAGAAGTTTGATGTTCCGGTTGTTAGTGAAGATTACTTAGATGCTGTTAAAAAGGGTGGGGCTATTCTGATGATCTCACAGCATAGCATTTCCTCATGGGGAACCAAGAAGGTTGGTTTCAAGACTTGTAAAGTTTGTGTGTGCTGTGTATGTGTGAATTGAGACTTGCCACAAGTCTTCCTCATGAGTCGCACCGCAAAAAAAGCCGTAAAACGAGCAGGCCAACCTTTTTAGGCCTTGAAATGGCCGAGGGAGCAACACCATATTAAATAAAAGGAATGACTTTTTTGAAATTCTACTCTAGTGACAAGTTAACATATTGTACATGGCTTAGTGTAAGCGAATTACCCTTATTTTTAGCCGGTAGTAGCATGCTTTTTTCCACCTGCAAATACATGTGCACGTTTGGCTTTCATGTACGTTGTCTACGCATGATATCCTAAAGTGCGACCATTCAAAAAAGCTACTCAGCAGTTCTTTCCTGGTACCACCTAACTCGTCCCCAGTCATCTCTCACAAACCTCTTCCTGGTGGCGCGCAGGTGGCGCGCGGGGTGTGATGAGGAGGAGAAAAGTGAGGGGGAGAGATCGGAGAGAGGGGGCGCTTTCTATGCAACCAAAACTTTCGAAAATTTGGAAACAGCGGCAAACGGTACAGAAATTTCCCGGAAAAGTTTCCAGAAACTCCGAAAGCTGTTGAATTTTTGAAATGCGAACAATTCAACCGAAAATTCTAAAAATTCCGCTAGCAAAGTTGAGTGGGAAGAAGACTTCCGGGAAGAAATTTGCGAAAATTTAGGTATACCTCACGACGTTTCCTCTCTTTGGAAGTTTTGGAAAATGCTGTCTCATTCACGTTTTAGTTGAATGGAAAGCGCCCAGAGTCTTCCTCTCTTTAACCTTCCCATCACCCCCTGCTCTCACCGTGCGCGTTATGCGAAGACGACAGGCGACGAGTCAGTGGTACTACTAGTCACAATTTAAAACTCATGGTGTACAGAGCTGCATTAGCAATCAGTCATCCTAGAATTAGCCAGATTAGCGGAAGACTAGAGACTATCATTTTCTAGCTGAATAAAACAAAAGTTAAATAACTTATGTTGGCCTGCGATGCGAACGCAGACGTATTTCCGGTCGTCGCTTCTTTCGGCGACCGGAAATACATCTGTGTGCGCAGGCTAAACTTTATGTCCGACAACTTTTCAGCTTTGTTAGAGGGACTTACGGTGTTAACGGTTACCTCATCGGACATGTCCTTTCTAAAACAGAAACAACTATTCGTAGGTCTGGAATCCTGGTTTTCCTTTTCCGCCTGGTTGTGTTTTGAAAACATTAAGGTTACGGTTGGAGTATTTGTAATCATTCTTAGTCTGCGAGCAAGATCTCCATTTGGGGGTATCCTTAGAAGTCAAGCGCGAGCGGCATGCGAAAGGAGACGCGAGAGCGAGCGGCTTTGTCACCCACTCGCGCGTTCCCGCGAGGCTTGCTTAACTTACTAACCGAAATGAAGAGCTTGCTGCAGGCTAAATCATTATCTGAGTGTAATGTGTAATGTTTTATCCAGGGTACCAGTGTGGTGGATGCACCAGTCCCTCCATCAGTTGGAAAATCAAAGCTAAAAAAAAGTTCATCTGAAGGAGGTAATTATCATTATCATTCAAAGCAAAGTTTTCTTTCTTTTCATTGGCCGAGAGCCCATCACGTGACCTGCAAATAACTGCCTACAAATAATAGTCTGCCCATGCACAATGCCGTCCAACTGTGTTTGGCTGCAAATAATATTCTGCACATGCGTTAAGGAAACCGTGCTTCTCTCCTTCTTGCGATCGTTCTTGCGTGAAAATGGCAGATCGCTTCGCTTCCCGAGGATATTCATTAAAAAAGCAAACTCGGTGATCGAATGATAAAACAATTACTGAACTCGGTTATCGCAAAATATCGTGATTGGTCAGTGTCTCGCAGATCAATTATTTGCCGAAGCCGAAGGCTGAGGCAAATAATTGATCTGCTCGCCACATGACAAATCACGAAATTTTAGTCAACCTCGTCCAATAATTGTTAATTATTTGAATGAAAATATAAAATAATTTTTTTACCAAATTTTACTTATGTGGATCGCCCATTTTTTAGTTTTGCGGGAACTAAATAGATTATTATGACTTCTCACTCGAAACCGTTCCATATCCTTTCGAACGGCTGAATGCACGGCAACTGAACTGATAAGAGACGGATAGACGAGCCACTTAAAACGGTTACCGTGAACGCTTAACTGCTGCAGAAAAGTTTTGAATAGTTGAAGGCTAACCTCTGAACAGCTGAAGAAAATGTTTGAATGGATGTTGTCGACTGGAACCAGCAACAATTGCTGTTTTTTTTTTTTTGGTCGGGGCGGATTAATTTTTTCCAATTTTCAGAAAGTCGTGCACTCGAAATGCAAGTGAAACAGCACACTACGATGTAAAATTCAGTGCCACTATATCACTATCACATCGTCTGACTCGCATACCCTAGTGTTGCTGAATGCTGATCTTAGGCTGGTTTAGAAGTACATGTAGGTAACTACAAGTGTTCTCCATTCAGCTCTGTCCGGGGACTACTCTCTGTTTCATCCTGTATATGCTGCGGGAAGTGTGTTTGAGTCTGTGTACGAAATCCTGTAGAGTGACCATTCAAATGAAAGCTACTGAGCAGTTCTTTTCTGTAGTGTTGTTTATTTTGTTGTACAAGGTGATTCTAACTTTTTAGTCCGTGCATGAAATTCTATAGAGTGACCATTCAAATAAAGGCTACTGAACAGTAGGGATGGTTCTTAAGGGCATGAACAGTGACTAATTCTTTCCTATCCACTCAGAGGATGTGGCAGGCTATCTACAGTCTGCGACACAGTTGTTCTTTGTGTCGGCACGCAATGCGCCTCCCCATTAGAAGTTTTGCTTGACGACTCAAACAATGGCTGTGTATCAGACCCATAGCCCCGTATACTTATTGATGATCTTTTCCAGGTCCTACAAAGAAGATGAAGGTCGCTGTGAAGGGAGGGGCTGCTGTGGACCCTGAGTCAGGTACCATTGCATCAGTGGAATTCTTGAGGAAGCAGTGTCGCAGCTCTTTTAAACCTCTATTTCACTGGACCCCTCTATGTCGCAGCTCTTTTGTTTTATGGACAGATCTTATCGTCAACTTTGTTTGTTTTATTGTTTTCTCATCTAGTCTCGTGAGGTATTGTAAGAGCTGCGGCATCACTGAGCGTTGTTCATCATTTTACCACAGATCTGCTGTCAGTGACTCTAGTGCCCATGCGCCTTGTACCGCTGAGTAGTTAGCCTGTGAATGCAGCCGCCTATCATTGCGCGTAAAAGCGTAATTGTAGTGATGCTGAGGACCCGCTGTTTACTTCGCAGCCAGTAGAATTAACAATTCATGAATGAGGCTGAGTATCTTATGAAGAATTACGAAGATCGAGGGTGTTATCGCGGATAACACCCTCCGAGATCTCCATAATTCTTCATATGATACGGAAGCCGAATTCAATAATTGTTTTATTATTCATTCAAAATAATTCCTAGTTTAAAAACGTACAGTGTAGCTAAAACATGCTTACCTTTATCGATGTTAAGTTTATCCTCGATAGTGCATATTTAGGGTTGTTCAGTTCGCAGATATTCTCCAAATAGCAGATGTCGCCCTTCTAGTTGTCTTCTTGCTGTTCTTGCCATGTTTTTAGCTATTATTTCGCCTAGTTCTTACTCTTGAAACCAGTGAAATGTCCGCCATTTTTCTTTTCACAACCAAAACATATCAACCTCGCCCCCAGGTCTTGTCGGTTAATGTTGCATTAACCTCTAAGGAAGCTGCACTTTTGACGTCATCGGTTGATTCTTCCAAATTTGGTCATCAGTAGCTGGTTATGGTGAATTATGCGTGTGCTTTTAGCCAATCAAAATCGGGAAATATTTTGAATGAATAATAATGGTTATTCAATCGACAATAAAAAGCAAGTGCCGGAAATTTATCCCGCTTTTCACAGGACGTGAATGAGATCCAGTGAATCAATCAGATCTTCAAGCATATACATGTGTCCGCGCCAAGCGAGGGATTTTCGCGGTAAAACGTCTGTTAGCAAGTCACAGTTGTGGCCTTAGTACTTTTCCTGACTCACTAGGAAAGTGGCAAGATACTTTTCAGCCAATCATTGCATAGCGTAGTGTGTTATAGTAATCGACACTTAATTATTAAAAACTGCTCTTCTTTCACTTTGTCAGAGATGGAAGATTCTTGTCACGTGTTTGAGGAAAATGGAGATGTTTACAGCGCTACTCTGGGTTTGGTTGATATTGTGAGAGGCACAAACTCTTATTACAAACTGCAACTTCTAAAAGAAGACAAAGGTCATAGGTGAGGTGCACACACAATTTTCCTTTTATATACCTTTGCAATATTTACTTTCACAGCATTCCACTAATACAATGTAAGTACCGTGCATGGAACGTATGAGCATGACTTGTGTAAAGCCAAGGGAAATTGGATTCACACATCACATCACATAAAACTTTGTTTATACTCGAATTTTAGGGTAGCTAACAAGCTAATATCTTCGAGCTGACACTACATAAAAACTATATAGAAAATATTATATACATTAAATGCAAGGAAAGAAAATATCATTTACAATTTACAATTTTAAGTTTAAGTATGTTTAAGATTAACTTAGGTTTCTGGGAACTGCCCACCTACCCCTCCCTTAAGCTAACATTTTGCCCTAGATAAGAAGTAAGTGTTAATGTTAGCTTAAGGGAGGGGTAGGTAGGCAGTTTCCCCAGAAAGATAAATGATCCGGGAAATTTTCGGACATTTGTGCGACTTCGACAATATTTTATAGACACTTTAAAAATAGACATTTAAACGTACCATAAACCAGTGACCTTCATTGTTTGTTTTCTTTTTTAGCTATTACATTTTCCGTTCGTGGGGAAGAGTTGGCACCACCATTGGCGGAAACAAGCTGGAGGTATATAAAGTGTTTCAGATGACGTCATATCCACCACTGGCGGCCATGTTGGTGCCCCAAACTAATCCTTGGGGAGCTGAACCTTTTTTCTCATGTAAAAACTCTGTGGTCGTTGCCATCGTTGTTGCTTAAGCTCTTTATTAAAGATTTTAAATTTGGCGAAAACACGATGGAAGCCTTCAATAATTGGCGGATGAAACAAACTTGGACACGGTAACGAGTATTTTTCAACATCCGAAAACAACTGTAGACATTTCAAAACACTAAACTTTTGAAAACTGCCCTGCTTTCTCTGGGGAAATTAAAATGATGTCTATATCTATTTTTTTCGCTTTTTGCTTGTTTACAGCGATGTGGTCCTAAGAAGTCAGCCATTGAGAAGTTTATGGAGTTATATGGCGAGAAAACTGGTATCGTCAACGTGTGATGTTTCTTCCTGTGTGCCATTGTGCCATTGCCTTGTCTTGACTTGTCATCCCGTATTTAGCAGCGCATAAAGACCTAGGCTGTAGGACTCTATTTTTTCACCACTTTTTTCCGAATAAGTTAGTAGACACATCCAAATTTCTTCGTTTACGAATTCCCACTTTATCCATCACCATAAACACGCACAGAAAAATGGAAATTGGCAAATATCTAGCCGTCTTCACCTCACACTTTGTCAATAATGGATATACTGTATATTGGATCCCCCCCCACCCCCTAAATTGATCACTATGTTTTTTGCAACCACGATGTCGGTTATTAGCAACTTGTTTCTTTACCCCGCCAAACCGGCTCTGTTACTTTCCTTTATTAAAACCCCGCTTTAACCAATCTGCGTAGTGCACATTGCTTGTCATTTAGGAGTGACTCTTAAATCGTAAGCGAAGTATTGCTAGAAATATTGCATTCTTTTCTGGAACTGATAGTTTTAATTTTTTTCTCATGTTTGCCTGATTTATTTACAGGAAACAGCTGGTTAAACAGAAAGAACTTTGTGAAACATCCAAACAAGTTCTATCCGCTGGAAATAGATTACGGCCAAGACGAAGAGGAGTTGAAGACCACAATTGCACCAGGAAGCAAATCGCTTCTTTCCGCTCCCATTCAAGAACTGATCAAAATGATATTTGATGTAGAGTCCATGAAGAAAACACTCGTAGAATTTGAAGTGAGCCTCTTTCTTGTACAGTATCTCTCGGTAACTGATATAGGGGAGAACGTCTTAAAGTAACAGGCTTTTCAGATAAAAGATAATTTTCTTTTATTTTTTTGTTAGATTGACTTAAAGAAAATGCCGTTAGGAAAGCTAACAAAACGGCAGATAGAAAGTGCATATGCTGTACTTGGAGAAGCACAGAAGGTTAGCGATTAATAGAAATAATTAATCTTTGTTTAAGCTTCAATGTATTCAGCACTTTTGTACGTAAGTGTACTACCTGAACACATTACTGTATGCGGGACCGACAACAGGCCACTTCCGAGTTTCAAAATCCCTCACTTTCAAAATAAGGCCAAGTGCACAACCTTTCTTGTAAAAATGAGTCTTATTTGCATGAAAATGAAAAATCATTTCCATATCAAAGGCTGAGCACTTAACCTCGTTTTGATACAGAGGCCTGGGGGAACTCGGAAATGGCCAATTCTACGTGATCATCCGAGCTTGGCGATAGTCTAACTGTTTTCAGGTCAAAGGTAGTACCTTCGTTCTCAGTTATTTAACCCTTAGTGTTGGTCCGACTCCAAGAATCGAACCCTTGACCGCCCGCTTAGCAGACTAACGCTCTACGGACTAAGGTTAACCCGACGCGGTTAGCCGTTAGCCTTTAGCCCAAACTTTAAGGTCGACATTGCTTGAGAATGTCCTCTGCTCTTCCAATGGCTTGGCAGGGTAAAAAAGCGAACTTCTATTAAAACATTCAGAATAAAGTGGCAGGTACACTCTATTTAGAACTACATTTGTACACTGTCTAGTGCAAATGTAATCTGACAAGGAAAGGCTCCGTGAACCAAGCGGGTCGTGAGTTATTGGGGTAAAATTAAACTTGCCACAAGTCGACCTCCTCGAGCGAAGAAAGTTTTTAGGCCGCATCCCAATTCGCAAACAATGTTGGGATAAACAAAGAATGACTGTAGAATGATTGTATGGTGTTTCGTTTTGTATCCTTAGAGTTTTTTTCCTTTTTTTTTCTTTTCATGTTTCCTGTTTTATTAATTAACCTGTATGGAACGGATATTTTCCAAACAAATGAGGCCCCGTCCAAATCATTTTGGGACGGTTATCCAAATCCGAAAATATCAAATATGATGATTTAGCGTCATATGTACTTCTGTAACAATTTGGATCCCGCGAATAGCCCTCCCCTCCGCTTCCCAATTCCAAACAATGTTGGGATAAACAAACACTTGTAGTATCCTGACTTTTTAATATCCTGATTTGTATGGACGGAGCCAAAACATTGTATCCAAATGAAACTCTCTCTAACTTTTTTTGCTTGTTCTATTGCAGCTCATTTCAGATGGTGGAAGCTCTAATTCCATTCTTGATGCGTCCAACAGATTTTACACACTTATCCCACACGACTTTGGAATGAAAAAGCCTCCAATGTTGGACAACTTGGAGCTGATTCAGGTGATCCACACTTCTAGAATTAAGAAGTGGGATGAATAAGTGGGATTCCGGATTTCTTGAGCTGTATTTCGGATTCCACTGCAAAATTTTTCTCCATTCCGGAATCCGGGTTCCCTTACATGGGGTACAATACGTAACACGATTACATAGACCTTATTCACAACAACCGCCATCCTTGCACGCGCTAAAGGACTGATGGGAAAAAAAGCATTGTCACGTGGTTCCTCAGAGGCCAAACAAATGATAAAAGCTGGCAATGCAAGAAATCGCGGTCGAGTTTGTTTACTCTAGACAACACAAAATAAAGAACTTTTGATAATAAAGATTATGGGTAGAAGTAAACATCGTTACTTCTGTGGATGCTATAGCGACCGTAGATGTCCTCACAGCAAACAATAATGACGTAAATCTTGTCGAAACTCGAAATGTACTTTTTGCTAGACTCTTAAATCGTCGTCTTGTTTTGATAGCACGTGACATTGTTTTTTTCCCATCAGTCCTTTAGCGCGTGCAAAGATGGCGGGTATCGTGAATAAGGTCCATTACATGTCACATATGTTTTCGACAGATTAGCAACGAAAGTGCTTATCTAATCGCATTCTAACAACCTTAGTATCTGTCTTCTAGCATCCGTATAGAGCGTTTTAACTCACGTGGCCAGCATCTGTGCAAATTTATTGGAACAAAACAAAGCGTTTACATAAGAAAAGAGTTTAACTCCCACAGGACTGGTTTGGAACACCAACATGGCCGCCGTGACGTCATGTGTAAACGCTCTATTTGCTTTATTCTTTACCAGACTGTATTCACGTTGGAATCTGTAAATAGAGTGATTATTTTCGCATAAAAACGTTATAGTAAAGTTTAAAGGAAATCTTTACACAGCGGTCACCCTGTATATAACGGTCACCTGTCCATTTCCCAAGGGTAACCGTTATATACAGGATTGATTGTTTTTCTTTTTTTAAAATTTCATTTAAGGCTAAAGTTGGTATGTTGGACAACTTGCTCGATATTGAAGTAGCGTACAGTTTGTTGAAGAGCGGAGAGGAAGATCTGGCTAAAGATCCTTTGGACGTTAATTACGAAAAACTAAATACTGATTTGGAGGTAAAGAAATAATGTTTTTTTTTTTTTCATTCGAAAGTAATTTTTTCCCAGATTCTGATGTTTGTTTTTATTAATTTAAGGTTCTTTGCAAAGACTCCAAGGAATTTTCTATGATCAAGCAGTACGTGAAAAACACACACGCCGAGACGCATACTCAGTACGAGCTGGAAGTACTAGAGGTAACCGCGTGGATTTTTTCTTGTTTCTTTAATATTGGAGAGTTACAGTTACTTTTATTCAAGCGTCTATAATTTATTTTTGCCGGGGATTTAGCTGCTGCAGTATGATCAGGGTGTACTGTCAACTTAACTGTCCGCAAGAGGGAATTTGTGTTACCAAAAATACCTCCGTACATTTGAAGAGCATTTATGTAACTCCGCCTATGACAGAGTCAAGGCCAAAAATCATGAAACTGCTATACGAATGTACCTTGTCTAAATTGAGGAATACTAGCAGGTGGCCTTTCTTTCTCGCTTCCAGGTTTTCAAGGTGAACCGTCAGGGAGAAGGCGATCGATTTCAGCCATTCAAAGAGCTTCACAATCGCCGCTTGTTATGGCATGGATCCCGCACGACAAACTACGCTGGCATCTTGTCTCAAGGGCTCAGGATCGCGCCGCCGGAAGCCCCAGTGGTAAGCCGTGTTACAGTGTTTATGGAGCTCAGGTCCATCACTGATTTCTGACAAATCAGAGAACAAAATGAATTATCAATGACAATTTCTTTAGATTTACTGTTAATGTCTTTCTTCGACAGACAGGTTACATGTTTGGAAAAGGCGTTTACTTTGCAGGTATGTTTCAAATTTTAAATTTTGCGTAAGGGTCGGTTTCTTCTACCTGCCCTCTATCTTCACAACTGTGTCACGGAAGCTCCGAGAAAGGCTCACTTAAAGAAGGAAACTGCTGAGCGTAACTATTGCGGTAGGGGGAGAATATGAAGGTGGAAGTGTGTAACCAACGCTCGGTTGATCTTTTCGCCTTCTGTGCGTGCACTTATCTCATTCAGCGGATATAGCGCTATGATGACCGTGTCGAAGGACCTTAAGATCTGATCATTACACGCATATATATACGTTTCTGGGAATCTTACCACCTACCCATCCCCTAAGCCAACATTTTGCGCTAAGTGAGAAGCAAGTGTTAATGTTGGCTTAGGGGAGGGGTAGGTGAACAGTTTCCCAGAAACGTATAATGACCCAACATCGCTAAATAGTGAATTTGCGTTTTTTAAATCTTCATGGTGATTTTTCCAAGTGACACTCACTTACCTTGTCAAATGTAAGCGAAATCTCCTTAAGTTGAATTCCTAGGAAACATGTATAAGTTCGAAAAAGCAAAAGAGAATTTCCTCGTGACATCTTTACGTCCTCCGTGAAACGTGAAATTAGGCATTTTAACATAGATTTCGTGTATTGATGGCAAAGACGTGTACTGAAAAAGTGTGCTGCTCTTGCAAAATTGTTGTTTTGCTTATTAGACCTTTTGCCTTTTGATGTTGTTGTTTCCTTCGCTGTCGTTAGATCTTATTCAAGTTGCAAGCGTTCGCATGACAATTACGCGACTAAAGAGAATCTTAGAAAATCATAATATGTCAGAAACTATGCAAGGTTTTGCTTCACTTCATTAAATTTATTGACAGTTTTAGGTTTTACTTCCGCGAAATAAAACCTTTGAGTAACAAAATTAATGTTGCTAGAAGTTCGCATTGTACTAACCTCTTCATCAACATTCGTTTTGCAGACATGGTGTCCAAGGTAAGTGTAGCAAATGAATGTTTTTTAAAATTTCCAAGTTCTCAGTAACCGTCATGTATCAAATTCTTATTGGCTAGTTGTGAGAATACGTTTTGACTATAATTATCTGTTTTTTCAATTTCTTTTCAGTCTGCTAATTACTGTCGTACCACACCATCTGATAATATTGGACTGATGATTCTGTGTGAAGTCGCCTTAGGAAACATGTAAGTGTCACATATTCCACACATTCTTTGCGCATCTTCAAGCGCGCGCTCATTTTGATAAAAGTGGTGGGCTGGGTCGAAAGCACCCGCGCAAACACTTGTGGGGTTGTTTGGGGGATTTGAACGCCAAGACGGAAAAGGCGTTAGCTCTTATTGATCGAACGGTCAAAAAATGCGACCGTTAACATTTGTCAGGGTTCATTTGTGGTTCTTTCTGTTTTTTTTGGACACAGGTGAATCCAATCCTTCCAATTTCTTCTTTTTCTGTTTCTGTAGGCATGAGTTGACTGCAGCTAGTTACATAGCAAAACCACCAAAAGGAAAACACAGCGTCAAAGGTATTGTTTTGAAGGTTAAGGTATTTTAGTAAAATCCAACTAAAGGTCTATTATCAATGCTACGTTCTGATTGGTTGAGCTACTACTAGGCTATATGTTATAGCCCACTAGTAGCGAAAAGCGCGGGCTTTTTGGCGGCAAAAAAGGATAAAAGTCTACCTTTTACCTAGCCAAAATTTCTTTATTCTCGATATTTTTGACCAACTAGTTGGATTTTACTAAAACAATTATTCCTGTCGCCCTCATGGCCTCTGAAATAGGTCATGTGTATATTGAAGTTGATGTCATCATCACACATCACTTGTGCTAAAAGTCATATGGTGACATTATTGTAACATGGTAAAGTCAAAAATAAACATAATTGTAACATTATAGATGTCAAGGGCAACATTGTTGCATTGTGGATCAATGCCAGAAAAATTGCGATGTCTTTTGTGGAAGTAAGACGTCACTTTTTAGACGTCACTCATAGAGACCTTCAGATTATAACACCAGGACGAGTTATTCTTAATACTAAGTAATGCGCGCGCGTCAACCAGCGTCATTTTGGCGGGAAAACGCGATAGCCGTAGTCATTTTACTGCAGCTTGAGTGAAAATAGGGACCTTAAGATCCAAGGACGGCGACCGCAGAGAAAACGTCGCTGAAAAACTGAATTCGCGTTCTTTCAATCTTCATCGCGATTACTCCAAGTCACTAACTTTGTCAAATGTAGGTTAACCCTCCTAGAGTTAAATTCCTAAGAACAATATTCAAGTTCAGAAAGAGAGAGGAAATTTCGTCGTCGCTTGTGTACTTCCTCTGTCACCGTGAAATTAGGCATTTTCACGTCGTAGTCGTGCAGTGACGGCAGAGAGATGTACAAAAAAGCGTGATGCACGTGCAAATTGCTGTTTTGCTAATTAAACCTATTGCTTTTGTGGCGTCCCTGTTGCCGTCGCCGTCGTCGGATCTTAAGGTCCCTAATGTCATAGTGACGGAAACGAGTAATCAAATGTAAGTAGTTTTATCATTTTACGATCGCGAGAGGGTGTTTGAGAACACGCGAAAAAAAATTAAGCCAAATCTCGTCCTCGCTGTCATCTCGGCTCGTCGGCGTCCTCAAATCTAAAGCTCTCTATTATCGGGTTATCAGAACCGCATGTAGCCCCAGACCAACCTCATGCTGAATTTTAGGGTTATAAAACATTATTGTGCCGCAGGGTGTGGAAGAACCGGCCCCGATCCCACCGCTGACATCACACTAGAAGACGGGACGATCGTCCCAGTTGGCAAAGGAACTAGCACTAGCGTTGCAAATACAAGTCTACTTTACAACGAGTATCCTTTAGCACTTAACTACTCTTAGACCTCTTAGATTTATTTCTATATTTTTTCGCTTATTGTTGTCGAGTAGTGACAGGGGGGAAAAACGTGCGCAAGGTGCTGGGAAGAGAAGAAGAAGAAGAAGCCCTTTGTTTTACTTCCCATCGCTCTCTGTACACACCCAATGTTTTGTTTTATCTTTTTGCTTTTGTTTACAGCCAAAGTCATTCTCTCTCTCTTGTTGATTTTAAATCTCTTAACCTTCTTATTCCTTATTTACTTAGCTCGTTGAAGCCCCTGTTGATGGTTAGTACTGTCTAACCGAAATATTACGTTGTAAAATAGCCCTATCTAGTTGCCCAATCAGCCTTGCATTTGGCTCTAGCTTACGAGTCTAGAGATGAAACACCAACGCTTAACTAACAGCTGCGTGCTGAGCGGTTTTACATGACGTCAGGTCCGCCATGTTGTTGTTCCAAAAAAATGAAACGGTGGCCGTGTTGGGAGTTGAACCTTTTTGTCATGTTGAATCTTTCTTTCGTTCTAATAAATTCACACAGCTTCTGGCCACGTGAATGAAAACGCTCTATCCTGTGCTGTGCAAGATGGCTCTAACTCTTGAGTCAGTGAGCGAAATCAGCTGAAATTCTCAAGTGTCACTAATTAAATCGAAGCCATTGATAGGAACATATTCAAGTGAATGTTTCTAAGAATACTCCTGAGGTACTGTTTTTATCTCATTACCTTTTCAGTCTGTTAAAAATATCGTATTGCACAAATTTTCAGAACTGTATTTTTTGTTTCGATGGTGGGCCTAAGTGAATAAACCAACGGAAAAACTGAAGTTATGAATACATGAAAATCATATATTTGAACTGTAGGGTAGGAAGTTATAGACGCAACTTTTGCAGTTGCGAAAAGAAAGCTTGAAAAAAATTCAGGCCACGGCCAGTCTACGGAAAAGTAACGCGAACTTCCATCTTGAATGTTTTTGTCAAGTTGATATATTCCTTAATTTAACACCAGATACATTGTCTACGATGTTGCTCAAATCAACATCAAATACCTTCTTAAGATGGATTTCAAATACAAATACAGTTGGTGAACTTGAATTGTCTCCCATCATCGTAGAAAAAAGGATGCCCGATGCAAGAGCTTGAAAGGAAATTATAATTCTTAAAAAAATTATTGCGTAGGTTACTTTTAGATGATTCTGTTGTTGTTAGTCGATTCTGGAAAGGACAGAGCCCTTTTGTTGTGACCTTGAAAAGATAACCCGAGGAATAAAAGAATATATAACTTGAGAGAAACTATTTGATTGGTTCAGAAAACGGAGGCTAAGGACTTTTAATTGGTTGTGTGAAAACCGCAAACGCGTGCGGTTTTTGGTTGGTTTAGGAGACAAAATGCCCGCCTTTGATTGGTTTAACGAAGAGAATATAACCCTTTCCGGCTCTTGATTGGTTGAGCAAAGAAAAGACAAACGCGTCTGTGTAATGTCTGATTGGCTTAGTGATCTGATCTATCCTAGAACTATGGATATTAAGAAACACTGAATTATCCAATTAGATTTAAACTTTATATCCTTTCGGTCAAGTGGCTTCTCTCCGTGACTTCTATAGCTTCTTAGCATGCAGGCCCTTTCCATGTTACGAACATATTTTTGACGGGAAGGTGAGCAAAGCTTTCAACGTCTAGCGGATTAATCAGATTGTGAATCAAGGTCATGAAAAACGCTCTAGCACTATTGTTCTTAACTTCACGTGACATGAACTTTCAGCTGCAGGAAAAGTATAATGATTTAGCAAAACAAGTTTTATTGACTGTAAGAGTTATTGTTATTGTTATTTCAAGTGCCAGCTTGAATTCGTGGTGTGAATTCAACGGTTAAAACATGAAATGTTTTACTGGAGAAAAAAAGAGATTTTTACGGTTTCCTTTTCATTGCTAGAAAAAAAAGAATAAACTGTAACTAAAAGTGAGCGTTCTCTTCTGTCTTTGACTGGTTTTGTGACTGTAGTAGATTTTGTATCTTCCGGGCACTAAAATCTGGTTTCTATACAATACGGAAACATCAATTCAACGATCTTAGCGTTGCCAGAGACATAAGGCGCTGAGAAATTGGCCATTTTGAGTAGCGCGTGAGACTTGGTTGCTTTTATGTGGAATTGCACTGTGGGGTTGTTTTGGGGGGACGAGTTTTGATCCAGTTTCATTTGTAACCTCGCAGTAAAGATAGCCTTCGTCACTTCCACATTGCCACACCTCTTGTTTACCCCCAAACTTTGTAATTATTTTCAATTTCTCTTGTTTTTTACAGTTTTCACATGAGAAAGCGAAAAGAATGCTGATGCCAAATTTGGCGGGGGGGGGGGGGAAACTAGGTGCATTGTGAGCAATGTGAAAGTGGCGAATTAGGCTACTGTGAAAAACAACATAACATTCTTTGTACTGGTGCCGTCGTGAGAAGTATTGCACAAACTGCGCCGTGCCATGAGAAGTTTGCATACTAAGCGGATTTAGATGCGAAAGCAGTCGTGCTAACGTTAGCTAAATTGCAGTTAAGCTCCTGTTTCGTGGGCTCTAGACGCCTGCCTCCCATTTAATTGAGAACAAAACTGCGTTCCAGTGCAAGGGACCTACACGTACTCTGAATAGGCTAAATTCCAATTTTAAACATTCAGGCTTGGCTCCAAGGCTGATTTGTAAAAAACAAAAGAGATAGCTTGAGATTAAAGCATAAGTAATTCTTCAAAGCTGGTCTATTCCATTTTCTTTCTAACAAAGGAAACCGCAATACATGTAGTTACTCTAAAGCAAAGCTAAGCCCGCGCACAAAAGAGTTTCGTAGGTTGATTCGTATAAAACAAAAGAAATCGCTTTAGATTAAAGTATAAGTAAATTTTTACTTTTTGTTTTATTCCCCTCCGCCTCGAAGCCAATTATTCAAGACTGCTCTATTCCATCTGCTTTTCTAATTAACGAAACCGTATTAGTTACTCAATGCAACGTAAAGCTAAGCCTGCGCACAGAAGAGTTTCGTTGTGCATGGTGTTTTAACGTCGCCAAAACAGTCCCAAGGTACAATTCGACACGGCTCCGACCCAATCAAACGCACAGCCTCAAATAGAGCTTTCCACGATCTTTTTAACTTTTCACTGGGACCAGTTAGGGAATATTCGTCAACGCGGCTGGATAGAACGCCTTAAAATCAGTAAAGTTGACAAATTTGAGAGTGATTTGTTGAAAACTAACGAAAATATAGCTACGCAAAGTCGCGACATTTTACAGACGTTTGTATGGTAGGAACCAAGTTCGTTCTCCACCCCCCCCCCACCCTACGAAGACCTACAAACGTCGGTAAAATTCGCGACTTTGAGGAGCTGTTTCTTCTCTCGCTTTGGACGTCTCTCTCTAAAACGTGGTTAGTTTACTAATGCTAAGGCGCTGTTTTTAGCGGTGTCAACGGATTTTCACCAGATGATCCCCATCAAAACTTAAACAAAAAAATGTGGAAGGCTCTGTTGCCAATTTATTTTAAGTTTGGTTGCCATTACCAAAAAAATATGCCCGACCAATCAGATCGCTGGACTTAGCTTTTTATCATCGGTGATCGCATCTTACTGTCTTATCTTTGAACTTCAGTTACTCAATAAATTTTTATTTTTGTTCTCCCTTGAATTTGATTTTAAAGTTGAGGGAAATATAATAGGGGGTCAAGCTTGTGCACTGAATAGAAATGTAAAATTCCAAGAAAAAATTCTGAAAATCGACACAACAGTAGGATCACATGACGCAACTTTGACCTTCATTGTGCTCCGTCAAGACCAAAGAGAAGTCCTGGGATGATACCAAGAGAGGCCGTAACCGTTTCCATTGCTCCTTTACGGTTACTGAAGAAGATATCAAACCGATTTAATCGGAGAGAACTAATCATAATGCCTTAATTAGTTGGTGATTTTTGCAAGCATAGCATAGCATTAAACTGAACTCTTGAAAAGGTTGGCCCAGCTTTTTCATGTTTCGATCCATGTCCATATCCTCAGTTGCCATCCGTTGCAATCGAAGACAAGAATTCGAAAAAGTTTCAATACCTAAATGTAGTCTTGAATAACAAAACTGGATCATTATTTTTGAAATTTGTCCGAAGACAAGTTTTAACTGTTTAAAAAGCTAGAAAAATAGCGCGACGTAATCCCTTTAATGGGACATTCGGGTTGTAGGTCGTTGGCAGTGATATGTGAATTTCACTTAAGTTATTTTTAAAGGCTGTAATTAAACCGAAGTCCAATTCCTGAGACGTCCGCACATTTTAATCGATTGTTGGAAACGATTGTCGAATGCCTCAAAGCAAACATTGCAGAATATTGTAATGGCGACTGTTGAGCTCTGCTGAGTTTGCGGATCTCTCAGGAAACCAACTTGCGATTAATTTCAAGCGTTTTAAAATTGATCTAAAAATAACTTCGGTGAAATTCTTACATCCCAAGAGCTAGAGTGGGCGTTTATCAGTCTCTTTGTCCTATTATTCTCTCTTGCATGAATTGAACCTCCTGGGGAGGAACGTCGCCCTACGAGCCTAAAAACGGCTGAGAAGGAGACTAAATCCACTGAAACGCGCGAAAATTGCTTTCCATAGGTATTAGTAGCCTGTACCAATCTCGTACCCAGACCCATTTTTGCGTTACATCACGGTGGTTTGAAATGTGGCTAACCTCGCGAGTGGCGATCCACAAACGAGATCATCGCGTACCAGGCCTAGCCCGCGAACGGCAGACGTTCTCGTCACTCATCGCCGCTGAGAGACGTGCGAAGAGAAACGTCTGCCGTTCGCTGGCTAACCAGGCCTTGATTCAATTGGACGTAAAGAATTTCAAGTGGCAACCGCTCTAACTAACACCCCTTTGATATATATACTTGTGGGCGATATGTCCCACGGCCATTTCAAGTGAACTAGTTGCCGTTTAGGTTGTTTGGATAAGAACTGGAATAGTCAAGGAAAACCTTTTGTTCAGTTTAAATAACATACGGGTAGCAGAGTTTCTCTGGCCAGCTTTAATTTATTTGATAATTTTCATTTTCTCTCTCGTTTGTGTACGACTCAATTCCACATTTCCTTTCTTTCTGAAACGTGGTGTCCAAAAAGAATTTCTAGAGAAGCCGTCTTGTGAGAATTTTCATGACACACGCCGCCCTTATTCCGCGTCTAACTAGCCGGCACAGTTCAGTGACTGTTCAACGCTCTTCTTCTATCAGCCTGATGAAGGTCAGGAGGCCTGAGTTATCACGTTGAAAACCTGGAAACGACATTTTTCCTATACGGAATAATTCATAACAGAACACTTTTAAATTGATGAATCCTTGATTACAAGCGTACTTTATTATTCAATCAGGCGTTTTAAATTTTTTTGCAACAATTCCCGGCCGCCGCTTTTTTTTCACAGCGCAGCCATCTTCTCAGTTGAATAGCTGTACTAAACTGTATAAGCCTTTTGATATCGTTTTATCCTAAATAATATTCTGCACCGGTGTCAGTAGTCAAATTCAAAACTGGATCCATCTTGATGTTGATAATACTTACATTTGCGGCTTGCTGAGAAAAAATAAAGTGGTTCTTTAAAGATAACACAGAGATCTTTTGTGGCGCGTATTTACAAGTCTTCTTTCTTAGCTTTCTTTAATTACTTATTTATAAATCTCCCACTTCAGGTGGCCGCGGTCTTCGTTAACCACGTCGCTTTTATATCCGTTCTGAAAAACATCTCACAAGCAAACAGATGCGACTGGTAAAGCTAACCCGGTTAAACAATTCTAGTTGAACTAGCTGAGAGTTGTTTAGACGACTTAATTGCGCAGAAATCAGAGAGAAAGATTGAATACCTCTTAAAGGGAAATAATATACATTGATTTAGCTCGTCAAATATTTATTCAAGAAGAGCGGCTAGATGAAAATGGGAGGAGACGAGGATTAGATATCGAGTTATGAGCCGCGTAGGGTAAATCCAAGTCAATTTCTGTTGCGTTTCATCACGCGCAAAATAAATAATTCCTTGGTGGTCTTGCCTCCTGTTGCTTCAACTCTTGTTTATATTTCTATTATCACGCGCTGGCCTCTTCGATTTTTTTCTATGCTCTGAAATTTACAAGAAAAGTCAAAAGGAATTATTCAGTTTCTTTTTAAGGCGGTAGCATACGCTTAGCTTTTCTTGTTACATTCGGCCGTCTGTTTCCGACACGTATTCTTAATATTTGTATGTCGCTAGGGTAGAAGTCAAGTTGAACAATCGGAAAAGCCACTGATATTTAAATTTAAAGCATTTCTTTGCTCAAGGACGGAACAAGAGTGAAATTAATATTTACTTTGATATTTAAATAGCAAACAATCTGTTATATATGTCGGTTTGACGAGTAGATGAGAGGTCTATAAAATGTTTGAGAGATTTTTTCAGTCAACGCCCCATTGAACATGGCAGATACATCTTCAAAGAATTTAATATTTTTGTGGCGTTAATATATCCTTGCCTTAACACTTCAAGTTGTTATCCTTTTTGGTGTTCTATTGTATTTTTTTATTATTTTTTCTTTGGCTAATAATGCGATAACCTGTGAGAATTTTTTGCTGATACAGTATGACACTTTACTCTTCACGACCGCTAGGTAACCTGGGAGTGTAATCCCACATGGCACTTTTCAAGATGGCGGATCAGTACAGCACGGGCGATACCAGTGTTGAGTTAACCTCGAGTGATTCAAAAAAGAGGCCTCTTGACGGTGCTGGAGATGGCAGGCCTGCTTTTAAGAGGTCAAACCTTGGAGGTATGCACAGCTGAAAAAATTTCGTTGTTCTTTGTGCAAAATGCGTCTGTTTTTAGGCATCTGCTTTGGTCATGGTGCTATGCGTCGTCAAGATGAAATATCCACTCTGTTACGTCTGTCAGTCACTGTTTAATTTTCATTGCTGAGAAAGACGATTTGAACGGTTTGTCATGTAGCCGTAGCCCTGTTATGTGCAACCTGCTTTTTAGATTACGAAAAGTCAAAGTGGAAATTGCTTTTTCATGGCGAAAAAATTATTCTGTTTTGTTCACGACTTCAACGGGTGGGGAATGATAAACAAAGTTGATTCGACTTGACACCGCTCTAATTTAAACGATTTTCCGTGGCTCTTGCGATCACATACAAATGGTACCTGTACGACTTGATATTTCCCAGAAAGGTTACAATGATGTTTAAAATTTTTGCTTTGCTTTGAGTAAACCGAACCATATGTTTCAGCGTCGTAAAATTTTAAACTGAAATTAATTTACCGACTTGACCACAATAAAACCAGGCTGACTCTTTTCACATATATTTTTATAATAACACTGGGCGATCAATAATTGATTCCTCGAGTCGGACTTCTAAGCTTAAAGCTAAATCTTCTTTTTTTATGTGAAGATAAGTTGCCCTTTAATTTGTTACGCATTGCGCTGCGTAACGCCTTGCAATCGAGAAAAAAGGAAGTACACGGATCTGTTGCCGTCTCTTATATCGTTTTAACAGCAAATATCCACATTTTTGGAGAAACTTTGCGTATTTTTAAACCGGAGTATATTTCCATAGTATTTTTGAAATTATTCAGGAGGGTAAAAAAATTTTGTGACTACGGTGAAAGAATAGTGTGCATGGATCGCGATCGTGAATTGAAAACAACAAACGGTACGCGATAGCGAAATTTTTAGGGCGTTCTTTCATCCTGTGTTTTTGGTTGTGGTTTTAGACTTTGAGTGTGCAAAAGTCTTTTGTCTAAGCGAATATTAAATTAAGGAATAAATAAAACCGGTGTTTTTTTCGAAAGCATAAATAAAAATTGTTTGGTATGCATTGCTGGTGTTGAACTCCGAGGGCCTTACTAGCTTTCGTGCGTTCGTTCTTTTTTTTTTTTCTCACTTGTAATCGTACTCACGTTTCAGTGTTTGATTAGAAAACAGCGTTGCGTTAAGTTATTGGAGCCAGCAAGGTTGGAATGAATAGTATTTTTTATCAAACAAGTAGCAAAACAATTCAATGTATGCCGTGAATAACTTGACACTTGCTAAGAATTCTAATTCATGATCGCTCAAGCAAAAAGTTGCAAAGTCTGGTTGGGTTTTCTCTGTCAAAAAACCCCTTTTCGGCTCAAATGCCTCGCCTGGCACCCTTCGCAGGGAATCAGAAACATGACTATTGTTCTTAAATAGTGAAATATGTTTTTTCCTTGCAATCAACAAAAACACAGGTGGCCATTTATATTATGCGTTTTGTCTGCGGCTGTCACAGGCTGTGTTGTGTGTGCCCCGTGCCTCTCAACCCGGGGTCAAGCATTCATTCACAGACCGTCATACATACAGTACGTGTATATTTATTCTTCCAAACGTACGCCTTGACAATAGATCTTCAGCTTGAAGGCAAGGATGTTTAATACTTGGGGTTGGAAAGGTAAATAAACTGCAGTGCAGTTGATTTTTAATTTCTTCTCTAGGGAGTTGATTTATTGTTAATTTTTCATTGGAATCTGAGAAACCATACTTTGGTTGCAAAGCCTTTTATGTTCTTATATTGAATCAGTTTTTGCGCCCAGTTGACCCCTCGTTATTGTGGAGAGGCTTTAAACTCTGATCATCTTTCTTTCTGTAATAACCATGTAGACATCTTTGTCTTTGCATTCAGTAAGTCCTCACTGTTGAATTTCTCCAGATGTACTGTATATAATGTTTAGCACAAGAAGGGTTTCTCTATCTTTTAATGTTAATATGATCCTAGATCATGAATATCATGTCTACACTTCCTGAAAATCTGTTTTAGATACATGTATGTGTGGTCTTCTTTTCAATAGAGCCTTGAGTGGTTGAAATGCAGTAGAATTTAGCAGCAATTTATTGTTTATTAAAATGGTTTACTAAGAAAATTCCATCACTCTGAAACAGAGTAAAGGGTAGTCATCCAAGGAAATTTCTAAATGCCATTAGATCTCAATTTAGACTGAGTGTTTTAATTTAAGAAACACTATACTTTGTTTGATTCATTCTGTAAGAACCACTACCACCATATGAAATTAATTTTGTTTCCAGTGGCTTTGTGAAGCATAAAGTAATACTAGAAACACCCTGATTCACATGTCTCTGCAATAAATTATTATTTAATAACTGCCACAAAATTAAACTTTTAGATTTATCTTTTTTCGTCTTGTTTGTATTTGCATATGTCAAGTTATAATGAAGATATCCGGACTAGAAGGAAATCAAATGCATTCTTGTGGCCGTAGACCTACTGCTAGTGAACAGTAAAATTTCTTATATTTTATTCAATTGAAACTATGCCTTCAGTTATGCAATGACTGCATTGATTAGAGGCTTCATGCTGAGCTGATTGCATGTTTTGCACCTAGAACCTTTAAAAAATGTACTCAAAATTATTGTGAAAGCATTGTGAGAACTTTATACTCTGAAATGGATTCATGGAACACTTTATTAGATTTCTGTGAAGATATTTTGTTTTTAATTGATTTGTGGCTTCAAGGAATCTGTTCTAATCATCATTCAAGAAAACTCAAATTATTTTATTGTGTAAAGAACAAACTACGTTGGATAGAAAGTGCCTTTGTGGTTGCGGTTACAGCATAGAAATAAATTCATGAAAAGACTTAAAAGCATGATGCATAACTATCATATTAGATTCAGTAATAATAATAAGCTGCAGCTAGCAATGACATGTTTGGGTTTGACCTTTGTTTCTTGTTTTTGTCAGGGAACATGATTGTTCTGTCATTATTTTCGGTATTTTGTCTTGATTTTGGCTTGAATAATGAAATTTTTCAAGGTTTCAATTAACAGAATGTCACTATCATGAATAATGGTTGAACCATATATCTTCAATCTTGCAATTTTCTTCCATGGATGTGGATGTGATACTCACAGAAGCAGACATGTGGCATGTGTTTCATATTTGCCATGCCTTTGGAAAAGTCTAGAAGAAATGATCACGGCAACTCTGTTTCTCATTTGACTGCTAGCATTTTTTAAACAAGCAAATGCAGTCAAACCTTGCAAAAGCATTGTTCTAGCACTGATTTCCCTCTTGTTTCATTTTTCTTGATTGCCCTGTTTAGTTTGTTCCGTATGGAAATGTGACCAGTGAGTGTTAATCAGTTAGTTTCCTTCTGATGACATGTTTATCCTTTGTAACCAAAATGTTTGTGTTGATTATTCCTATATTTAAAGGGGCTCTGTGATATTGCTGTTTTCAGCCAATTCTGCACTGAGACAATTACATAATGCCTAAACCCAAACACAAAATGCTCCATTAGTTCTCCCAGCATTTTCAAGTTTCAATCGATGTCATGCCCAGGTTCCATTCAGTGCGAGAGAACTTCATTTCTTGCCCCTTTCAGAAGGTGAGCCGACAAGAAAAACATTTGAATTTAAAGTTTCTAGTGCCTAATGGTATTCTTTCACTATAGAGGGGTATGTTCTTATTCAAGATATCTAAAGATGTTTTGTTATGCATATTTGTTAACTTAATGTCACTGACATAAAATGGAAGAAAATTACAGATGGATAAGGTGCTATGAGGTTTTTAGACTCTTTCACATACATATATATATTCTCATTTCTTTTTACTCTTTAGCTGCCAAGACTCCAATTTTGAAAGTCCTAATTCCAAATCATGCAGCTGGTTCGATTATTGGAAAAGGGGGCGCAAACATTGCCGAGGTTCAGCAAACAACAGGTGCTCGCATCAAACTGTCGCCAAACAATGACTACTACCCAGGGACACAAGAAAGAGTTGGTCTCATTATGGGAGAAGTCGAGACTATAAACAAAATGTTAAATTTTGTGATAGAAAAGATCAGGCAAGATCCTCCAGCGATGAGATTAAATCCAGCCATGACTTATGATCGGGAGAGGGCAAAACAGATGAAAATTGTAGTGCCAAACTCAACAGCAGGGCTGATCATTGGCAAAAGCGGGGCAACCATCAAATACATAAGCGACCAGACTGGAGCGAGAATACAAGTGAGTCAAAAAAATGCTGAAACAGTGCCAGGAGAGAGAGTGATTGGGGTGACAGGCAGCTTGGAGCAGGTGCAGGCAGCCTGTGCGGTTATTGCGGCAAAAGTACAAGAGGATCCTGAGCATGCTTTAAACAACAACATCTCTTACTCTAGCTTATCATTAGGGGCTCACCGCGGACTCACAAATGGCAGTTCAAGTTTGAGTGCTTTAAATAGTGGTGGGTTAGGTGGACTGGGGAGTGCCGGGAGCAATGCAGCTGCCAATAATATCTTAGCGCATGCTGCTTTACTCAGTGGCAGTGGGCTGGGGGCTAACAACCCTCTGCTCAATGCTATGGGGAATATGGGCCCTTTAGGATTATCGTCAACAAGTTCACAGATTCAATCCACAGCTACTCTGGAACTAACAGTCCCCGATGAGCTGATTGGCGCTGTTCTTGGAAAACAAGGAAAGACCATTACAGAGTTTATGCAGTACAGCGGAGCCAAGATACAGGTATCTCAAAAGGGCGAGTATGTTCCTGGGACTAACAACAGGAAAGTTGTCATAACCGGTGATTTTAATTGTGCGCAAACGGCTCATTTTCTGATAACGCAACGTCTACAACAGGTAGAAGCTGAAAGGCTTTTAGGCCAGCATTCTTAAAGACTATGATATACAATTGTAATATTATCATCACTTGCACATGCATAAGTTTGACATTGTTTGATCATTTTTAATTTACTGAGAAAAGTCTTACCGCATTAAATTCTCATGGATTGCTCTGGTTTTCTCTTTTTTGCTTCATTTCTTTGTACATGCAATGCCATTTTGGCAAAAATTTTTCTTGGGCATTAAATTGAAGAAACATTATTTGGTGATAAGTGCAATTGTTTCTTCAGTGTTGCATTTGTTTTCACGTCAAATCATTCACATTGCCAAAGAACTGAATTTTATTGGCTTACTTCAACTTGTGACTTATCAGACCCCTGTAATAGATTGAGGGAAGTAGATTTACTAGTCGTTAGGTTTGCTCTTAGGTTTCACAATGTGGCAGGATTGTGATGAGCGCATGTTTCCCATAGTTTAAGCATGTGTCATATATCAATATTTATTAGAAATGCAGTGCATTGGAGATAAAATTGTCAGATAATAAGATGTTTATCATCACTCAGTGTCTCCAACAAAGTAGGTACAGGTGTAGTGAGAACATTTTATCGGTCATTTGTATCATATGCTTTGTACAGTGAATTACTCTGTATTTTAGCAGAGTTTAAACTAAATTCAGCATTTTTATCGACTGTAAGAAGTGATGCTGTGTTGCAGATAATTCAGTTGTGCTAATTTTCTCACAATGATCAAATATGACTTTCTCTTTAATCAGCCATTGGCTAGATTAATATATTAATTGCTTCGTCTTTCAGAGTTCAAACAAGATTTTAATTTAAAAACATTGGCAAAATAGCTCAGTTACTTCATCTTTCATTAAATTAATGTGACATAACATTGATTGTAGGTGAGAAAATTAAAGTTTGAATAGAGTTGACAACTTTATGAAATGAAGCCAGTTTAGTTATCATAAACATGTTTAAACTTACCTTTGGTCAGTTTTGGCTTCCTAAATTTTTAACCCCCCCAGGGTGTAATTTTTTTCAGTCAGCATTATAGGCTTTTAGTGTCAAAGTGAGTAACTGTGATGACCCCACAAAGAACATTGGACATGTAAATGTTGTTGAATTATTTATACTCTGTCATGTTAGTAGAACAGTCTTGCCTTTAAATGAAAAGCATGCAAAGGTACCCTTTGTGTGGTTTTACTGGGCTGGATGTAATGAAAGAGATAGAATTCATAGTGGTTATTGTATTTAAACTGATATTTTGAAATAAGTGTAGATGATATTGTTGTTTATTTCCTTAAATGGTCATGTAGTCAGATTGTCTTTTAAGAGCTCAAGTGTAACAGAGTCATAGTAGAATAGCGAGTCACAGTACAAAGTAAATACAGCTGATGTCCACCTCCATCAATAGGGAGCTTAGCAATAATAATGACAAGGACAACTGCAATGTCAAAAAACAATTAGTTTATGAGCAAAACAAGAGCTCTGCACTTGCATTACGCTTTTTAGTATGTTTCTTTGAGGTCCACTGCACCATTACAATGTGAAACCCTCCAAACGTGGCATTTTATGAACGTCATGAATGTATGAGGACAATTCCCCCTTTTTTTGAACCTGGATAAATTCCTTAAGAATTCAACTCCAGGAAAAATCACCTACATGTACATTTGACAAATTGAGAGGGTCCAAATAGACGCGATAAAGTTTGAAAGGAACAAATTCATTTTCTTAACGACGTTTTTAATGTCGTCATTGTCATTATTGCTTTTAAGCTTAAAAGCTCCCTAATGCTCGGCAGTTGCTAACTACTGGAGGCTCCAAAAGGCTGAGGAAAATTTGATGATGGACAGGAGATTTTATTGCCCTTTCTTACATTTCCCCCAGGCCATTGTGGAAAGCTGTGGATACCACGGTTGTCCCAAACACTACTGATAAATTTACATTTAGTACAGTCATTCATTTAATCTTCATTGGTCGACAGAACAGTCATGTTAGGACTTAATGAGGTGACTTTAAAGGATGCTCCAAATATGAGACTTAATATTGTTTGTGTGGGGCTGTTCCCATCTTTACAAAGTTATTTGTTGATAATTCACATAAATAAGTAAATAATGTTATTTCGGTAATCATTCTTTGGGGTGAATTAAACCCTTTGCCAATAGATAAAACAGCGAAAATGACTTCAACGAAGGCCTACAACTGCCCCGCCTACTTGCAATAATTATTAGAGACAGGGAACACTAGCCAGTATCACCTCATGTTTAATCTCACCTAAATTTCATTTAGCCACATAATTATTATAACATACTGTTGTAGACGTCGTAGTAAAATTATTGCATAAAAAGACTGGCCTGGACATAAGCTAAATACCATTAGGTGCTGGTTTCTCATATTTTTCACCTTTGAGTGGTTTATTCTAGCATAATGTACTAATCCGTAAACCCCTTTAAGCCCCAATATTTCCATCAAATTCTCCAGACTGATCTCCATACATTTCTTTTACAAGATTAAGTCAAGAGAATTTGGTTGAAGAATTAAAGCATTTTTCCTCTGGTGATCATCATAGCAATTCTTGTAACCATTCTCTTGATGATCTATTGATGTTGCTAGGAGAAGATTGATGTTAGTCACTCTAGCTTAGGCCTTAAAGGGTTAACCAAGGTTAGTGCCCAACTCTGCTCAAATTATTTTATTTTATTTTTTTGTTTTGTTGTCCAGGTTGCATTTACTACATTTTAATGTAGAATAGCACTGGCTGCCTAAAAATCAGTAGTAGTTTTTGCTGTTGATATTAAGTAGACGGTTTTGCTGTACATTTTAATGGTTGGACATGGAGCAAAGAATGTTTTGTAAAATAACTAGACTGTGAGCTCGGGCTTCTGCTATCGTTGCTTATAGCTTCACTTATGCTCTCAATCTACTGTGACTAAAAAGAAAAATAAAAGACTGCTCACAGCTTAGTCAGGCGAACAGGCAATCTAAGGAATGTTCCACTTTTAGACAAAACGTTTGCCACAAAACTCATCTTGCTCCAAGTCAATTTCTGGTTACTGTATGTTGTTGTTAAGAAGGTCCCTTTTAACTCTAATCATTCTGTTCTTAGAAAAATGGGGTGGGGGTGGAGGAGGTGAATTCTGTAGTCTGAATAGTGAATAGCAACCTCCTCCAGGGGTAACCAAGCTTTAGAGAAAAGATGGGATTTGACTGCTATGCAGGTTCATAATGCTGTTGTTTCCTTGCTTATACTTTTTAAAATTAATTTTCTTTCAAATTAATAGTACAGGGCAGAGTTTCTTGAAGGCTGATTACTGAGCTGTAACTTTGGGTTAATAGTCTTAATCCACAATAATCCACCCTTCCTATAGGCTGTTTTGGGTCTCTAAGTTAAGTTTCAACTTAAATGATTTTGTAAGGTCTAGTAATATTTCGCAACCCTTGGTAAAAGTTAATCATCATTCAAGAAGCTGGAATAAAGCTGTTGGAAGGTCAATTAACATAGAACTAGCTTTAGTTACTGTGGCAACTCAAAAGAATTCTCTGTTTAAGGTTTACCCAGGAATGGGCATTAACAGAGCTTCAAGCAACTCAGCCGAGGGCTAGAAATTTAAACCCTTTCCCTTTTAACCTGGAGGTATTTGACCAGGTTTTTTTTAATGAAGTTTGTATTTGGGCTCTTCACAGTTAAATAGTAGTCTGTAAGGAAACTTTCTTTTGAGTGGTACAGGCCGAAATCTCACCTTACCCCACCTCAAGAGGGTTTCCTCACAAATTATATATAATTTACAGCAGTAGTAGTGGTACTGTATTAATTTATTTCTTTTTACTGTACTTGCTGTCTACATAATTTTGACTCTGACAGTATTTCAGTCTGTGACTTATGTCATTCATTTTTGTGTCAGCATTACTCGCCAAGCGAACATTGACTAGGGACTTCATGTTACACATATCCATGTGACTCATGTCTATCAGTGCCTTGCTCATCATAATGTAATGACAAGTCAGTACCATGTGAGTGGTGTTAACATCACTGTGGTCGTTCCACTTAATAAACTGCTGATACTACATCCATTGTCTGTCTCGACTCATTCCTTGCATATTCACAAAGACACTTACATGTACTTCTATCATTTTCAAGCACATCATTTTCAATCACAATCTTTCTTCTAACCTCGGTTGCACTATGCACATATCATATCAAACCTTTTTTTTGCTTGTGCCCACCAATTTTTTTTTCTAGTGGCTAAGTAGTTTTTCTAAATATATTCCAGTCCCTTCACATCTGACCATGTCTTGGACACACTCCGGCCATTTTTTAGGGCTTGTATTGGTGTTGTATGAAGTTTCTCACGTTTGTATTTCAGCAATTCCGCAGTTTTAACCTCAGGGTACAAGAAAAACGCAAAGGTAGGTTTCTTGGTTTTGCCCTGAATTTTTTGAATTCAATAAAGAAGGATAAAAAAATGGAGTATAGTTTCTTAACTTGAACATATGAAGTGGCGAGTATATCCACTTGCCCCACCTACCCTACCCTGCGAGATAGTGAAGTTTGTCTAGATCTTCTCCAGAAAAGCGAGAAGAGAAAGGGACTCGCGCCCCTCAGAACATTCAAAAGAGGGGCCGGTCCGGCTATTGTGGAAAGGTTCCTTGTGAACCCCAACGGGAGCTCCCTTATATTTCATAATACGGGACTATACAGCTGCTCCTCCGAGACTCTACACCAGACAACATGAATTTGTGTCCCGGTACGTTCCAGGCTAAATTTAGAGCCTGTTCTAACCGAATGGTGATTTTCATTCCCCGTTCGAGAGTCAGAGAGGGACCTTGTGCGGCTTCACTTCCTGCCCCCCCTCCCCCATCCCGGACTGTCCAGGTGTTACCCCTAGCTTCCCCCTAGCTGGGTATCCACCTCCAAATGCGTGGAAGTAAACAGTGACTATAGCCCAGTGCATACGGACCCAACATTTTTGGGAGTTCTTGCGTCCGTTTGCACGAAGCTTAAGGAATATGTACGAAGTCGCGTTCTATTGGACGCTTTTTTCCTTGCTCTAG